ACGGCTTTCCAAGTCCATATATAGGTTATATCTGTACCTTTTTTTCGTTCTGTTGCAACTGCACTACTATTGCAGCTCATTTAAGTATTGTGTAGGCGGATTATTAAAATAAGATAATATAAAATTGAATGTGTGAATAGTATGATGGTTACTAAAGGAAAGTTGAAATGTTTCTGTAAGTCTTTTTGACTTCCAAAAGAGTATATTGGCTAGCTAGTAGATGGCTTTGCTCTGGATTTAATATAACATGCCACGAAGAAAGCCAACTAACCTAGTATTTTTGTTTTCTTTTTAAGAGAGCAAATTACGATGTTAATTATATTCATAAAAAGAAAGCAATTTTTCTTCAAACGGTATGTAACATTGGGTGATGCTGAAAATGAATGGATGAAATTGAAAATAAAATATCTAACAGTTGTTTAAAATAAAAAACTAAAACACCCATAATACTAAGTGCCACGTAGTAACTAAGCCGAAGCGGGCGGACAAAAGAAAGAGTATAGTTGGGACTTAGATGGGGAAGGACTGAATCGGCATTGCGCCATGATGAGCGCCTTTCCATTTTTATATGCGTGGGGTGTCCAAGTCAGTGGTAGTATTAAAATGTAATGTGATTCCATTAGTCTTTGATAAATGGAGCTTAATTAATCAAGGGCCCAATTAAAGTCAAAGCTTAGATGGGTCCTTGTTCGTCTAATAATACGTCGTTGAGACGGAAGATTTGACTTCGGTGTCAAAAAAGGAGCATCAAAACAGAAGGATAGAGAGAGGGGAAGAGATTCTGCAACTTTGTCTTACCTCAATGGGGAATGGAGACAAGGAGAAAGACTTGGATGTTGATCTCTCACTCAAAATTGATGCCAAAGAAGAAAACCAAGAAGAAGGTGTAGGCGGCGAGGAAGAAAAAGAAGAAGAAGATGCTTATCGCGTCAACGATGGCGTTGAAGCAGCAGCAGCAGAAGAAAAGGAGGATGAGCAAGGACCAGGAGTGCAGAATAAGAGGCGAAAAACAACAGAAACCGGGGCCGGTGAAGTGGAATACGATGATGACTCAGTAGTCGAAACATCGGTGCAGGAGAATAATATGAAGACGGATCAGGAGGTACTGGTAGAATTATACATACAGCAAACCTATATGAGATGCATTAGAAAAGTTTTGTAGTTCTATATTTTTTTGGTAAATTAGAAGTTTTAGTTTAATTGTGATAATTTATTAACCAATTAATTAACTAAATTACTGTCATATGTGTTGTTTTACTAGTTAAGCGTTTTACAAATGGAGATGAGCCGTATGAAAGAAGAAAACAAGGCTTTGAGGAAGGTCGTAGAGCAAACCATGAAAGATTATTATGATCTTCAAATGAAATTTACGGTTCTCCATCAAAGTAGCCAAAACAAGGTACTTAATTAGTTTAATCCAATTTTAATTTTGTTATTAACATCCTCCTCTCTTTTTTTTCCTTTTAATTAGATGAATAATTACAGTTTCTTTTTTATTGCTCGAGTTGCGTGTTTTGTATTTCCACAAGAAATAATATTAATGAATTAGAGTTTTGTTAATTAATCATATCTTAATTTCGTTAATTTAGGATCCTCAAACCTTTCTATCACTTGCTGGTAACGATCCCAACGCAGTTCAAGGACCCAGGAAGATTACCAAGATGTCAGATATTCGCCATAGGTCTCCACTGTCACCGAAACGTGATGATGAGAGTCAACTAGGGTTGTCACTGAGGCTGACCAGCTCTGCTACTACTGCCAGTCAATTAAGGGGAAGAGAAGAAGAAGAAGATCATGATGATAAAGAAGAGATCAATAACAAGGAAGGATTGACGAGGACTACTAGTCTTACATCATCGTCAGTGCAACTGCAAAACAAGTTACAGCGGCCGGAATTGGCCGGAACTACAAGCCACGGTGGCTCCCAACCCAATCGAAAAGCTAGGGTTTCGGTTAGATCAAGATGTGAATCGGCCGCAGTGAGCACTACGTTCCATTTGCAACTACTACTAATTAAGCACTACTCAATTTCTTAAGATAACTTCTGTGCATATTACGTTCAGTTTAACTTCATGCATACAATATAGACTATATAGTAAGTAAGAGTATCTATTAATCGCTAATGTTTTAAGCTATATTTCAGATAAATGATGGGTGCAGTTGGAGGAAATATGGGCAGAAAATCTCAAAAGGAAACCCTTGCCCACGAGCCTATTATCGTTGCACAGTAGTCGCGGGATGCCCTGTCAGAAAACAGGTATATATATAGGGGAAATTCTACATTATCATATAAAAGCAAAGGTGCTGGTAGGATGTTATGCACGAACATTGTTCGATTAAGGGGTATCGATGTCATTTATTTTAAAGGGTTTGTAGGCTAATCTATATACGTTGATGTTTTGGATGGCATATGTTGTAGGTCCAAAGATGCCAAGAGGACATGTCCATACTTATAACAACTTATGAAGGAACACACAACCATCCTCTTCCAGTTGGTGCGACGGCCATGGGTGCAACAGCCATGGCTTCAACAGCTGCTGCTGCAGCTTCCTTCATGTTACTAGATTCAAGTAATCTTCATTTAGCAGATGGCACACCCTCTACTTACACCCAAGCATCCCTCCCTTACCATCATATGATGAACATGAACCCTTCATCTCATCCCTCGTCAAACTTGCGAAGCTTCGATCCTCATGACCCTTCCAAAGGACTTGTTCTTGACCTCACAAACAACTTCTATGACACCATGGGTGGCAGCTCGTCATCTGTACCTCCAGGTTTTAGTACTAATTGGTTGATGAACAGCACTAGCAGCAGATCTGCAAATTACCCTAGCAGTACTAGTCTCACCAACCGTCCTTTGGCTAACGGCAGTAGATCAACCAGAGTGGCGCTAGGGGACGATCAGAAAGGTAACTGGAGATCAGGGGAAGAAAATATGTCCATGGCTGAAAATGTAAGTGCCATTGCTTCAGATCCCAAATTTAGGGTTGCTGTTGCAGCTGCTATCACATCCCTTATTAACAAAGACAATCATACAACAACTAGTCATCCTGCGCCGAATGCTATTGCCCCAAGAGATCATGGAGACAACAACGGTAGTTCATCTACTAGCAACCTTCGGGCTATTGATGAATATTATCTCTCATCCAACGGTAAGCTCATTCGCAAAAACACCTCAGAATAATCCTCTTCTTAATGTTTTTCCTTTTTTTTTTGTTTTTTTTGTTCTTTTAAATTGTACGTAATATTCTTAATTAATAATCCATTTGTGCAAGATTACCAAAAAAAAAAAATCCATTTGTGCAAAGGGAAATTTATGGGTAATCACATAAAATATTATGTGCCATTATCTTTCTCCATTTGGTTCCATTTACTTAGGAATATATACTATGTAATGGATTATTGTAAATGCAATTATTATTCATCATCTTTAAAGCACCCATATGAATAAACTTGATGAACAGTTGATCATGCATATGTGCATGAATAATGTTACACTTATCACATTTTTCATATTACATTTGTATTGTCTTTTTATTAGAGATAGGGCTCATCTACAAATGTAGGTCTCATCTCTATTTGAGAGGTGATACAAATGTAGGTCTCACTTGTCCAAAGTTAGTCTCACGACGTGTATGATATTTGGCAATGACCTTAAGGATAGGTCGACATACACAAGATCAATAATCTCTTGATCCATAGCGATTGCACATGTCCAATTTAGTAGAATCCGATTAAAGATAGCTTTTCCCTTGTTTTTGAAGTTAGAAACCTTAGGGGCGAGGGAATCGCGCCTCTGAATTTATATTGTTTGTTGCGAAAAAAGTCCTTTTAATTTGTTCATTTTACTGTATTTTTGGTTTGCAAACCTTTATTTGAATGTCTTCCTTCCTATTCTCTTGGTTGTCTATTACGTACGTACCTATTACGCTGATACAATGATCACGTCTGCTGCTCAGAGCCTTCGAGACATTGCTGTAATGTATTGCACTGATATCGAAGACGTTCCACATTTTGAATCACGGTATGAGGTACGTTCTAATTGCCCAGTCCCAGTTTTTCTCTACTTTTTCATAGACAAGCAGCTTATTTTTTATAACGGTGATTTTGTCATCACTCCAAAATTCTATTGGTTTTGGGAGGACGTAGATGGATTCATTGCATTGGCAAACCTCGTTTACTAGTTGGCAAGCAATGCGACTTAACAGTTAGTTCGTTTTCAAACTTTTGTTAGATAAGCCAATAGAAAGAGAACAATATTAAGCAAGCATATTTTATGCTCTTAGTTTGTGAGGAAATTCGGCTTCGAATTTGTAGAAATTAACTTGGGGGTTGGAAAGAGGAAGGGAAGAGGATTCTAGAGGTAGAATTTAACGGTCGTTGGTGACGGGGGACGGTGGCGCTGTTGCATGAGAGAGAAGAGGAAGAGAGAGGATACCGAAGGGAGGAGAGAGAGAATGAAGGTGGGAGGGAGGAGAGAGAGAATAAAGAAATAAAGAAACTTAAAAAATATCTAAAGAGATAAAACAAAAGAATAAAAAAAAAGATTTGTATAGACAAGTTTGGCACTGATGCACAAACTCCAACCCATCTATTTGAAATTGTCACGGAAGAGGAAGGTAAAAAATTGCCAAAATTCCAATTGTTAATCATATTTCTATAAGCCACACCGATTGTCAGTGGCCCTATTTCAAAGTCCACTGATAATAAACTTCGGTGAATATAGAGTTAAGAAAGGCACGAATCTTCATTAGTGTGTAAAGAAGGGTGTCCTACAGCCCTTTTTCTAGTAGTGTTAATATTGTTCTCTTTCTTTCTATCAGATTATCTAACAAAAGTTTGGAAACGAACTAACTATTAAGCAACATTGCTTGCCAACTGGTACACAAGGTTAACCAAAGGCAATGAATCCATCTACGTCCTACCAAAACCAATAGAATTTTGGAGTGACGACAAAATCACTATTGATACAAGTAAGCTGCTTGTCTTGGAAAAAGTAGAGAAAAACTGGGACCTGGTGATTAGAACGCATCTCATACAGTGATTCAAAATGTGAAATGTCTGTCATCAGTAAGATAAATGAACAAATAAATAAATATAAAATCTAGTGTGGGTTTCAAGTTGCCACCTCCGTACAAGTACAAGTCTCGAACCCAACGCGGCCAAATCGGACGATGACCAGACGCTCCTTCTCCGCGAGGACAACCTGCTCCACCCCCCGTCCCAACCTCAGTCCTGGAATGTTGTTCTGCAGCTCCGACATTGTCTTTCAAACGGTCCTAAAGGCCCTCACCTCCCTCTAGGGTTTTCGGCCGTGACAGTCGTTATCCCAATATGCACTGGCTCATTCATTGCTCGGATCCAGTGGATACAACACCTAGCAGATTCGGACAAGTCCATCCCCTAATTCCGGTTTGTTGTGTGTGTTGTAGATTGGGACAACGCCTAGCAGATTGGGACAAGTCCGTACCCTAATTCGGATTTGTTTAGTGTATGCATTGTAGATACTTGGTCGTGAATTTGAATGAATGAGGAGTTGGTGGAATGACTCTGTAACTGACTTATGTTGAATTTGGTGACTTTGCGATCTAGATTATTTCCAAATATGACGTTCACAAGCCTTGTTTTGAATAACAAAACGGTCTAAGATGTAATCATCGAACAATAGTGAGTTCGCACGAACACCAATTCCGGTTTTTCTAGCGTATGCACTGTAGAAGTTTCTAGCATCCGCTTCACAAGTGAACTCCATACCCTCTTCTTACTCACTCCAAATTAATGGAGGACAAGGTTTCTCAAGCCGTAAATAGCGTACCAAATGCCACAAGCAAACAATTAGTATAAAATTATTTGGCGGGAGAGGTAGAGCTGAAGTTCCCAATGAAGATTGAGAGGAAGCCTCACCTCCACCTTTCCCGCCATAATCCTCCACCAAATTTGTCTTTGATGGTAGTCTTGCTTTGATAACCAAAAATGTCATAAGAGCTGAAATGGTGTTCCAGTTCTGGGTCGATCCATTTAAAATGGAAACGGGACAAGCTGGGCTAGGTGTTGCAAATCTGACCACTGGAACCGGATGGGTCCTTCTTACTTTTTTTTTTTTTTTTTCTAGTTTTGACTGCCTCCCAGACTCGCCATTTTCCAGATCTTCAACTCGGTTTCCTACATTAAGATCCACATTTGCTTGCCGCGCCGTTTCCAAATCTGGTACAAAACCATAAAACCAATTCACCATGAAAATTCTATTTTCTCAGTAGCCAAACAGAAAACAAGAAGGGACGACCATCGATGGTGACCATTGGAGCTTCGAACTCGACGCCGATGGTAAAATCATGCACAGGTTGGAACCTCTTATCCTTGAATTGCAACAGCAAGCAAGATTTTCTGACACCTACAAATCCAAACCAAAAACCCAATTGTTTTAAAAACTCAATTCTCAAACCAACCAAACAAAAAAAAAAATCAAGAAAAATCAGAAGGCTGTGGATTTGAGGAATTGAGACATGTGTCGCCAATGATGATGTACTTGAAGAAGTAGTCGTAAGACTCCATCCTCAAATCGCTTCAAGACCTCGTCTTGGCCAAGCCCGACCCGATCTAGTCCTGCTCAGAATTCGCCCGCCCAGATCCTCTGCTTGTTCCACCGCATCCGAAACCTCTCGATCGAGATCCCTTTGGACGATCTTCGGTTCGGGAGGGAACGAAAACCGGTGAAGTTGCGCAGATCGGAGACAGAGGCATCGAGATAGAAAGAGAGAGACTGGGGAGAAAGATCGAGAAGGAAGAGGTTGAGAATCGACAGATCCGAAAGGAGTGAGAAATCGGAGACAGAGGCTTCGGGGGAGAGAAATAGACTAAGGGAGAGAGAGATCGAGAGGGAGGAGACCGAGGAGAAAATAGTCTTCGAGAAAGTGTGAAACACTGTGGTAGAGGTCGCGGTGGAGTGTGGGTGTGGATGTGGTGTGTTTGCTCCGGGAATGAGAGTTGCAGAGATGGAGGAGAAAAAACAAGGAGAGGAATGAGGGAGAAGGTTTGAGAGATTGGGGAAGGGGGAAACACGGGGAAGTGGGGTGTGTGTGTGTGTTTGTTCTCGAAGATGAAAGTGCATCGAGATAAGAGAGATGGAGACAAGGAGACAATGTTCTCGAAAGTGAGAACTGTCATAGGGAGGAACAAAAGGAAGTGGGATGTTACATGAACAAGTTGGTCTAGGTACCCTTTTTTTTTTTTCTACTTATAGACCCGGCCCACCCCTAAAATTCCAAAGCCTCGCCCTTGTTTCTCTTTTTAAAAATTAGGAAGCAGCCCGTACCCACCTCGAACCTTGATTATCTACCTCGACCCACAATTCCTATACCCGTTTGCCCACCCATATACACATCTAGGGGATGTCTTCAATTGAGAGATGTTTTTTTCTTTTAAGGAAATGATAGTAAGATCGAGACAAGCAAGTCCGTGGGCAGTTCCGTTAGCTTGGCGGTAAACGTGGATAAAAGAAGCTCCAGTGACTGATGGAAGCAAAGCCTTAATATCCTCTATAATTTATCCAATGAAATAGAGATTAATAGAATGACCCTTCAATGAATCCACAATTTGAAGTGAATCACATTCAAACAGAATATTTTGATAACCCCTTTCAAGCGAATCACATTTATATTTTGATGTAGCGAGCAACAACCACATCCGAAGAATCACAAATTCCATTCCAGAGTTTGCCATTTCTAAGCCCCATATAGCCCAACAGATCGTGAAGAACGACTCAAGGCAGTCATTAGGGATCCTGTCAACAATTTCAGAGCCTACATGCTTAAAGAAAGAGGATTAAGTACTGGTTTGGTACTGTGGTGCTTTTATAAAAAGTGGGTATAAAAAAAAAAGCTAAGCTAAAAAAGGTGTTTGGTAAACACTTAAAAAAAACTTATTTTCACAGTTTTGGGTTAAAAAAAAGCTGAAAATGTGAAGCAGCAAGAATGAGCTTATTCTCACAGCACAACATAAGCAGTTTTTTTTCAAAGCACAACAATATCAAAACAGCCTTAAAGTTCCTCATCAGAATACCCAACTTTTAAAAAAGTTATAAATCCATGAGGTTTGATAGAATTCTAGTGGAGTTTAATTGACTCCATGTATTTTAACATATTTTCAAGAAATAAAAGTGATTAATTAATTTAAATAAATAAATATTAGATTGAAAATGTAAATTTTTAATAAAGTTGTCAAATAATACATGTACATACTTACATGTATTATACTGGTTTCGTATATTATTACCTACTCTCTAGAACATTATTATGCTACATGTTTTATTTATTTATTATTATATAAAAAGGGTACCAGCTGGTGGCTTCGGCACGTTGTTTACCTTTTCTGGAGCTAAGAGCCTTCCAACCACCATCTTGCAATTTAGCAGCACCAGAAATCGAACGCAGAACATATTGAATACGGGTCTGAAATTTATCCCAACCATTATGTCACCCGGTGATGGTAATTATGCAACATTTTTTTTAAATAAACGATATTATCTACATTTAAAAGATAAAGAAAAGAATATCACACTGAACTAGTTATAATAATATGTCGAACTTAAAATCTCTTACAAAACCATAATATTAAGTGATGGCTTGTGCCACCATGCTTTAGAATGATAAAAATTTGGGGAAAGCGAGACAAGACGCGGGTCGAGGGTTTTGGTGAACACACTATTCTTCTTATTCTCTTTTCGGTTTCTTCATCGACTCATGGGAAGCGCCGCAGTTGAGAAAACGCAGGAGGAGCTCCGTAAGGAGATCGATGAACTCCAACGCCAACAGCGCGAGGTCTGCTTCTCCCTCTCTATATGTATATACACACACAAACATATATATAGATATACATATAATTCATATGTGCTTGTTTCTTAATCTTCAGATTACGGAACGGCTTCGAGACCCTAGGGGACTCCGGAAGGGAGGCTTGGTAGCCGCTGGTCCTCGCAATTTTGCAGCCAATGGTGCTGGTGTTCGTCCGCGTGGATTTACTCGACCTGTAATTTACCCACTTGCTGGCTTGTTTCAATTCATCTTTTGTTTCCATGGAACGAATCGCAGCGAAAATTTCTTGGGAATTTTTGCGTTTGTGTTGATAAAATTAGGTCACTTATAAGTTTACAATCATTATTTTTTGATTTAGAGTTGTGATTGGCCATTGTAATTTTCAGGCGGATAGAGCTGATGCAGAGGATCAACGTCCTGCAAAACGCCGGCTTTCATCAGCGGTTGTCAAGGTAAGACCCCTTGCATTTTGTATAAACTAATTCTTCTCTGGCTGTTGTGGTTTAGATTAACTTGAGCTAATTGTAATTGGTCTTAATCTTACCCTCCGTTTGAAGTCTGAGAAATTAGGAAGGAAGAAAAAGTAATGATTGTATGTAATAGATATAATTATTCTGCGTCAATTGAGAAAAGAGGTACATTTTGGTACTATTGAGGACGGCGTTGTTAACTTTGTATTCCTAAAACAGTTTGAAAATCGTATTTCTTGATTTTGGATAAAGGTCGAGGATGGAGAAATCACTGAAACTGCTGAAGAGGCCAAGGATGTGAAGATGAATGATTCAGCTGTAGAAGCTACGGCTGATCAGAGTGATAGGAAGTTGGCAAATTCCCAACAAAGTGGCTGGTCAAGGAGGGAAGGAAATCACGGAGTAGCAAAGAAGGTAACTTTACGTCTTTCTCGTTTTCCTGAGGATTGTTGCTCTGAAACCATAAATCTCTATTGAATTTGATTGTTGTTTTGTGGTTAGGATTTTGAAATTCCAGCAGCAGATCATGTTCCGAGAGTATTGCCAAAAGAACAAGACCCCAGCTTGGTTAATAGGAACAAAAGAATGCTAGGACAACTTTTGGGGACTCTAGAGGTATGTGCAGTTTAGTCTATTGGTTTCATAAGCAACAAGTGATTAAAACTGATTTATATTGTTACAACTAAAATATACTTCTTGTAAACATCAAAATTATTAGAAGAAATTTTGTTTTAACTGACCAAATTCTCGTCTTTTGAGTGGTCACCATTTTATGTTTGTGTGCAAATTGAGGTCAAGCCACTCGAAGCGGTACTTGCTAGTATTAATTCAATCCATACTCTGATGTAGGAATACATAAAATGTGAACAAATTTTGAGGTGTATAGAATTTTTCCATGGCTCTGTAGTCTAGAGAATATTATTTTAAGCGCTTGAGGGTTATATAGGACTTCACAATATGCATTAGGGATGTTTCATAACACTTCACAAGTGCCAAATATTGAAGAGGAAATCACTAGTTGCCCTTCTTAGGGCCCATTTGATAACCATTTCGTTTTTAGTTTTCACTGCTTGATATATTAGGAACGTATATGGGGAAAGGAGGGATGAAGAAGGGTGTGGGAAGAGTAGGGAAGAAATAAAGAAGAATGACGTAAAATTTTGAAAACGAATTCAAACAAAATTTTTAAAGTGAAAACCACTCAAAAAAGTTTTTGGTTTCTGGTTTTCATTTTCTGTGCCTTTCCTTAAAGCTTTCTTTTATATCTCTCACACCATCTTTCATCTACTCTTATTTATACCTCCTTTGCCCCATGTATTCCCCCTCTGTCACTAATACAAAAGTGACAACCACATGCTTAAAATGAAATGTTTTTCAAAACGAACCTCTTGCTACAGGGGAAGCCACTGGTTGATATTCTTAGGCATCCACTGTAATCAATTTTGCATTTTAGAGATTTCTGAACACTTACAATATTAATTAAGCACAATATATCATATGGTCTGCTTAAGGTGTAAAACTATCATATTTCATAGGCTGAATTTTTTTCCCTCAACATGTTTTCTAATGACAGTTATATATTGTAATTCCATATGCTTATTTATTTTCTCTGGTGGTGAAACTGTTGCAGAAATTCAGGAAAGAGGACTTGCAACTTTCAGGGACAGAGGCATTCATGCGGAGATCAGATTCTTTACAGAGGGTGAGTATATAAATGATTTCTTTAATACGTACCTATTTTAGTGTATATCCATGGCGCAAAATAATATTTCTATATGAATGTCGGCATGCTGGAAGTTTCAGGACTTACATGCTAAAATCTGGCATTCCCACTTTAACGCAAAAGATGACGATTTATTCACCCACTAATATCTGGCACTCCCACTTTAACACTTACATGCTAATCATCCTCCCTTTACACAAGGCCTTTCTCGTACTGGAGTGGAAGGTACTCAACTAGGTCAATGGGAGCGAACAGGGAATATGAAAAGAAGTAAAGAACAAATGATGTTGTGCATTTTGTTATTCTTATCTGGGTTGCTCTTGTTTTGAAAAATATTATGCTATATGAAAGTCTAAATGTGTACACTTGGAGCATCAATATATGAAGACCATATCTAGCTTGATTCTTGTCTCCTGGATTTTTGGGGAGTTACTAAATAGATAAAATTGCCTGAATATAGTTACTGAAAGGTGCTAGTAATTTTGGGAAATTCTATATGAAACGGATATTTGCGCAATACTGAAATTGTTTGTACTTTCTGGCCATGGAGGGATTGTAGTCTTGTAGAGTCGGCATATTTTCCTTTGTTTTGTACTTTTTCTTAATAATACTTTGTTTATATGACATATAGAGACGCTCGTTAATGCTCATTGCAAGCACTTTTTTCCATGAATTTTTGTTCTTTTCTTTTCATTTATAAAGTATTGTGAGTTTAATGATGAAACTTGTAATGCTTTTTGTAATATATCTAGGCTGAACAAAGAGCACGAGAAGAAAGTGAAAGACTTAGGCTACAAGAGCGTGAACAAATTGCGGAAAAGCGGAGGAGAGATCTGGTTCGTTGTTAAGTTCCTGATAATAATACTTTGACCTACATTAGTGTAGCCTAGAAATGACTTTTTGTTTGAGGAACACGTTAATCCTTATTGGCTAATCCCTGCACTTATTTTGTAGACTCTTCGGGCACGCGTTAATGCCAAGACGGAAGAAAAGAAATTGGAACTTCTTTTTCTTCAGTGGAGTGAGCATAATAAAAGACTTGGGAATTTTATAAGGTATAAGGTTTCTAACTGTCAATTTACTTAAACGGTTGTCACAAAAAAAATGTTCTAAAAAGTAATTCTCTGTCGTTTTTTTCTTTTGCAGGTTATTTTTAATTTTGGTCCAAAAAAGTGTCCATATTCACATTTTATTGGGACAAAGATAAGTTTCTATTCATGCGAATATTAGTGTTGAAGCAACCTGATGACTGGATGTTTATGCGTTATTGTGGGGTTTTAGGTAGAATTAATTAGTGCTTTCTTCTATATTAGTTTCTCACTCATGTTTGATTGGTTGGAAATTTGTTCGATTTTAGGACTAAAGCAGAGCCTCCAATATATTATCTGCCCAAGAAACCATTGGAAGAGGATGCTGCGCTAGCTGAACAGCGAAAAGAAAAGGTGAGTTCCTTGTGACTTGTCACGTTGTTTCTGAATACCTGGAGACACTGGCTTATGGTTTCAATGGAAGCCAATGTCTTTTCTAATGTCTCACAAAAAATGTGGTTCTGTGAAGCTGCTAATTAAGTAAAACTGGAAATTTGATTGGGCACTAAATTTAAATATCCGCTTATAAGTGTAAGAACTCGGCAGCAAGGATAATGAGATTACAGTTTTGCGCTTGAGGGGTGCCCCTCTTGCGATACATCAGGACCAGTTATGTATTACATCTTCATTTATATGTCTATTTTGCTTGATTCTTCCTGTACAAAACTGTATCAGGAGTATCTAGCATGGAAAGCTGCACGAAGAGAGGAACTGACCGAGTATCAGAAGCAGATTGGGGAGCAGTATATTGCCAATGTTGAAAAGGAGTTAGAAAGGTGGCAAAATGCAAGGAAACCAAGGAAAGCGAACAACGATGTGATGAACTTACAGGAAACAATGGACAAAGAATTAGACACACACAGGCTTGAGCATGGTCCCAAGAAAAGAAACATCCCTGATGGAAGCAACAACGAAGATGAGGATGATGTGGAAGATATTAACGTAGCAGAGGACTACATGATTGATGATGTGCTTGACGTTGATGATAACAATCGAAGGGGCGATGCAATAGCTAAACCGGATGCAGGTAATACCAGTCCAAACGCAGATACTGTTGAGTAGCGTTGAGATTAGCCACCCGTCACACCTGTTCTTCAAAGCTGGAGTCTCCTTGGAATACTCTAAATCTATAGTTGATTTAGTTAGCCTTCTGTCATGCAGTTTCTTCTCGGTGTCTATTTATGTATCGCTTTTTGAGTCAACTTATTTTTCATCCCGCCCTTTAGCACGCGTGTGTATTTGAATTATTTAGTGTAGTTGCTGAAGAATACTAGTAACAGATATTTGTTACTGCATATTTTGAATTTGAATGAAGCATATGTTGCATTTCTGCCGAATTTAAGGAAGCTCAAGTTAGGTAATGCTCTTTCGTTTCTTCTTATTTGAAACATAAAGCAAGTAAGACGGTGTGGTAATGGATCTCGTAGATTGGTGTTGGGTTAGGGCTTAAGGTGTAAGGGAGGTCGAGGATTGGGGGCAGTGAGTTGTCGGCGAAACGGCACCGACGCCGGCGACAGAGGAGTTGGGGAAGGGAGTTGCCGGTGAGGGAAGGAGTTGATGGTGTGGATTTTGATTGTATATTAGTTTTCCATATCTGTCCAAGACAAACACTTCATTCTCTTTATTTTCCAAATAAAACACTTGTTTTCCCAAATTTATACATGGTTTTCATCTAAACTACATATTTTTGTCAACCAAAACCTAATAAAATTACTACTATACCCTTTAATACAAAATTGAAAGAAGATATTAGAAAAGAAAATAATGTGATCATTAATGTTTTTTATTCTAAACCTCACAGCTAGGTGTCTGCCAGTTGTTAAAAATAAATAACTTCTCTCATAAAAAAAAAAACTAAAAAACAAATATTTAAAAAAACTAAAAATATATTTTTTTTTTCAACAGTGTGTGTGTGATTTTGCTGGTTTTCATTAAACAAACCAGAAATTTACTTTCTTGTCCTCCGGAAAAAGAAATGAAAACCCGAGGAGAAAGAAAATGGGGGTATAATAGTAAGTTGATTTCAAGAGACAAATTATACCATCTTTTGCTTTTAAACAAGCAAGCCACGTGCCGATTACATACGCAGCGTGTGCTAGCAACTGACCTATAGGAGGTGAGGTTTTTTTATAATGTATTTACGTAACCGTAATGAAAATAGGTGGAATTGAATTGAGGAGGAGTTGGGATGAGGAGAAGCTAGAATCGGAGCTGTTTATTTAAATATTCTGAAATCGGAATAGAAATGACACTAATTTTATAAAGTTGTTTACTAATTCAGCAGAATCAGAATATAAACCATTATGATTACTAAAATGCCCTTGTCCCAAATCAAATATTATATGTATAATTTTTTTAATAAAATTTGATATAATATATAATAGTAAGAAAAAAATTAAATTACTTTTTTATTTCATGGACACACTAAAATGCTTTTGTTTATTTTTTATTTTTTATAAATTTAAGTATTTACTTTAATATTTAAATTTTCTCGTCAAGTTAGATCATTCTCTTCGGCATATGTATGAGGTTGTGCATAATATGAATGAGCATAGAGTTGTGCGTAATATGAATGAGCATTGAAATAAAAAAGGGTAAGAAGTTGTGCATAATTAAACTAGTGTTAATGAGTTTATAAAGGATAGTCTTGGAAATAAAAAAAAGTAAGTAAGGGCATAAAGGAAACAAAATTATCATTTCGATTGCCCAAGCAATTAGGAATCCAAATACTATGTTAATCTAAGGGATCCAAATCCTCCAAATCTTGGAATTGAATTCGAAAATTTTGTGTGGGTCCCATCTTTTCTTTTACATCCCAAGTTTAGTAAACAAAGTTATACTCCATAATTAGAATTCAATTTCGTGTTTTGATTCCAATTACAGTTCCGTAAACGCGTCCTTAATCTATTCGAAAACGAAACAATACGTGATATGTTATTATACAAATAGAAAAAAAATTTTCTTTCAAGTATCATTTCGCTTGTATAATAATATATGAGTATGTGCTCATGTACCAAACACACTAAAAATAGAGGTGTGCTATCTACATACTTCATTTAGTTTCTCACACACCCTCTGATAATTTCTGTCCGTTGTTCTTCTTTAATTCATCTGATCCGATGATCGAAAATTAAAAAAAATATGTAAGAAGTAAAATAAAATACATGGATATCACACCCTTAAAAATATCTCTTATCCCAAATGTAAAAATATCTCTCATCCCAAAGGTGGTTGCTAGCATTGTTCTTTTTTTTTTCAATCATTCTCTCACCATATCATATACTCTTTTTTTCATCATCAAGGCAGAATTTTTTTTAATCATTCATTCAGCCTTTCTTAATTGCATCGTGCAATTTATCAACAGTAAAAATTAAACACGAACATATCATGTGAATAGAACTTGCAGTGATTAGATGTAATCTTTTCTAAATAAAACAGTGCCGAAAAAATAATCAAAATACAAAAAAGTGCAGTACGTCCTGCAACATTAATCCCCATCATCGAGAGATCCTGCAACATTAATCCTCGTAATCGAGAGATTTTTCAGTGTGATTGACACATAAAGTAGTACATCACATATCATTATATAAATATAAATGATAAAATTTATATGAAAATGTTAATAACTTAAAAAATAAAATTTTCCCCCATTTACGTAAAAACACTTGATGTAACCTTCGTTACAATAAAAAATTTCTCCATCATCAAGTGCTCCTTTTTATCTTTCTCTCAAGCAAAGTCACCGAAAGCGGCTCTCGCTCCCTCCCTCTCTCTCTCTCTCTCTCTCTCTCTCTCTCTTCAAATATCAAGCGACACACTGAAGAAGAAGGAAGAAACAGAGGCCACTTCCACACTCACTCAGAGGACAGAGAGTGTGCGTGAGTGAATAAGCAAGCAACCCAAAAATAAAATGACATCAAGAGACAACCCAACCCCAAACGGAGACCACAGACCCCGCGTCCCACCGCCACGACCGCCGCCGTCGTCTTCCTCCTCCTCAAACCCCCGCAGCAGCAGCAACCACCACCACTACTACCCGACGAGGTCGTCATACTCCTCCTCCTCCTCCTCCGCTTCCTTCAAGGGCTGCTGCTGCTGCCTTTTCTTACTCTTCTCCTTCCTAGCCCTCCTCGTCCTCGCCGTCGTCCTCGTCATCGTCCTCGCCATCAAGCCGAAGAAGCCGCAGTTTGATCTCCAGCAAGTCGGCGTCCAGTACATGGGCATCAACTCACCCAATCCCACCGCAACCGCCGACCCCAACCAAAACCCTACCTCTGCCTCACTCTCCCTCAACATTCGCATGCTCTTCTCCGCTGCTAACCCCAACAAGGTCGGGATCAAGTACGGCGAGTCCAGGTTCACTGTCATGTACCGCGGGATCCCATTGGGCAAGGCCTCCATCCCCGGCTTCTACCAGGACGCCCACACTGTCCGCCAAGTCGTCGCCACCATCGCCGTCGATCGGGTCAATTTGCTCCAAGCCGACGCCGCCGATTTAGTCCGAGACGCTTCCCTCAACGACCGAGTCGAGCTCAGGGTCTTGGGTGACGTTGGCGCCAAGATCCGCGTCTTGAACTTCGATTCCCCTGGCGTTCAGGTCAGTAGTCTCTCACCCAATTTAAATTTTTCTCACCACCCATACGCAATTTTGCTTCCTAGATTAAAACCCACTTCCCAATTTTCCCTTAAATTCTGTTTGGCTACTAAGAAAATCACAGAAACCCGCTATAAGTTGATGATATTACGCTTGGCAGACCCAGATAGGTTTTGTGTTGAGAAAAGGATTTTCTTTTCGTTTTTTGCATTCATGCCCTTCCATTTCTCAGCATTTTCAACATTTGCCTGTGTTCTTGGATCGGGTCCAAAATTCCAAATTACATTTTACTTTGTTTGCAATTTTTGAATGAATTCTGTGATCTGGTTTGTTAGAAAAAGGATAAATGAAAAAGGTAAGGTTAGAGAGAAATGGCAATAAAGCTTGACTTTCGATATTAATGGTTGTGGTAATTGCGTTCCCTTTACGCCGCACCAATTATAGAAGAGCTACTTCTACTTTTGATTAGCCATAATTTAAACAAACATATACGGGAGTTAGGTTCGTTGGTCATGCCGTGTATGTTTTCTTGTACTCAAGTTCAAATTTTATTTAACCATATATTCATATATTATGGTGGGCGTAAAAATGCAAGTTAGGAACGTTGGCATGCCAACGTGTTTGTTTTTGTTCACTCTAAGATTATTTTAGTTCTCTAATGAAATATCATTGCCCATTAGTTACCATTAGTATCATTGTGTGCGTTTTTGCTCACCATCCTCAAGTGGTGGTAATGTTCAACATCTTATTTATCATTGTTAGATGAGTTTTAATTTTGAAATTTGTGTTTATCTACTACACAATTCTCGAAATTTAAACTCATCGAATGATTTAATTAGGATAATCACCGCGACCATCACGTGAGGATTGTCAACAAAAATATTAATGCGAAAATTGTCAATGTGTCCATGTGGTTGCAACTGAGAATTAGGCGTGCCATTTGGTTTTTGGTTTGAGTGAGCATGTTCCTGGATATTTGGGCCGGTGTCCATTTTTATATTTGTGCCATTTGTTCAAATTACTTCTTGTCAAACAGAAGAAGTAAAATGTTTCAAAAAAAAAAGAAAAGAAAAGAAAAAAAAGTAATAAAGTAATAAAAAATTAAAAATAATTCTCAATGGAGGTCCCACCGGGAGTCGAACCCAGGTCGCTGGATTCAAAGTCCAGAGTGCTAACCACTACACCATGGAACCATTTGGTTCACAGGCGTTTGATTCTTTTGCGTTAAAAACTTTTACTGTCTCAAAAACATTTGTTACCCTTTATTTTTCACTACATTTATTATGTATTTTTGGGTAATTCTTCGCATCGTATTTGGGTACTTCAGTTACGTTTATGACAACGAGTGTACGAAAATAACTTTTATACTTTTAGGAACAAAAACTTAGAACAAAAGAAAGAAAGCAAGCAAAAATAGTTAAGGCAGGGGCTAAACTAATTTGCCCTTCACGGGGTAGTAAAAAGCTTTCCGGGCCCGCCATGTGAGTAGGGCTTTGCGTGGGCCTTGTGGGTGGGCCCATATGTTTGTGCTGCATTGGGACAACTGGGAGAGGTGATGCACAATATAAATCTAGAATTATCTATTTATTAAAAATTGAAAAACTTTTGTGGGAAACTTCGGTGGTGGGGTCAGCTAATTATTGTTTTTTTCGTTATGATTTTTATAAACCACCACGGGTGGCCTAGTTAGAGTCAAATTTTATGCAGGTATTTCACACGGCTTATTCTGAGTTAGATTTTTAATTCTGATGAATCACATAATCGTGGTCAAGAAAATGCTGAAATGTTTCAATAAGTCTTTTTGTCTTGGAAGGATGAATTGTCGTCGCTTGGCCATCGGCTGGTCCTCTTTTAAGTACAAAAATGAAGTTATGATTTTTATAGGTGTTAAAAATAGGTGCCAGGTTGGATACCTTTCCTCATGGATTCTTCCCTTCCAAATGCCTTTTACATATCACTAGTAACACTACTACAATGTGTGTCTCTCTGGCTGTGTCGTGCCATTAAAGCACCATAACTTAGGCACGAAGAAATCTTAACATGCCCTCATGCTCCAACCCAGCCCGAGAGTTCATAGGACCCTTTTTTTTATATTTTATTATATATTTAGTCTAAAGTCCCACGTCACGTGATGTCATAGACTATGGTTGGTTATTGATAACGCTATATGTATGGTGAAATTAACGCATTTAAGTGTTGATTGATTCCGATGAACTTAGTGCAATCAACGATTGAATCGAGGGACTCAGGACTTGTTTGTTATGCTTTTCTTCTTATGTATGTTTTTGTTGTCCTTTTTTGTTCACTATTATTTTGGTTGGAAGTAAGGCTGAAAGTGTGTGGTGATGGTGGGGAAATGCAGGTGTCCGTGGATTGTGCAATTGTCATAAGTCCAAGGAAGCAGTCTCTCACATACAAGCAGTGTGGATTTGATGGATTGAGTGTGTAAACGCTCCTCCCTCAGCTCACTTAACTTTCTTGTCGGTAACTTTCGAGTCGCTTATTTTTGTTTCCCTTGTGATTTTCACTCTTCAAATTGGGAGAGAAATGAAAAAAAAGAAGGTAAAAAGTAAAGAGGAGGGGTAAAAACAAAGAAAGCCCCCGCTCCCCCAAGTGAAAGGGGAAGTAGTAGAGAGTTTAATACCAAAAGAGGAAGGAAAAGGGTTCTCTATCTAAGATTTTGCCCAATTTTTAGGCGTTGGTTTTTCATGACTTGGAGTTTTTGGAGGGTAATTAAATTAAAGCTGCTAACAACGACTGCGCGTAAAGTGTAAAAACTAGCGCATTTGTAATGCAATTTCTGTCTGGTAGTGCTATTCACACCTTTTTTACGTCATCTTTTTAATTTTTGTCCATTGCTTTTTTTTTTTTTTTTAGTTTATTCTATTTAACGACAGGAAATTGAGTGGGGTGTGTGAGAGGTACAAATGAACGTGTAGATGCCACCCTTTACATCCTATTGGCTAATTTTCTCGTGCATTATGTCTACTTTGTGTTTTTAGTTTTTGGGTTCGCATTCAAGATGTCTCTAATGACCATACGGCAGCCGTATTACACCCCTCATCAAACTTCACACAAACATGTAAAAAAGTTCACCGAACTATACGCAGCTCGAAAACCCTACGTGAATATTGGGAACAAAAATTGTATCTTACAAAAAATACGTTTGCCCGAAATGTATCACCGAGGAATTAAAAACAAAAAACAAGTGGGCTTTAATAAAAAACGAAACCGTCGGTGATTGTTTAGTGTTAGCACCATTATCCTACGACAATACAAAATAAAATAAATTAAAAATATAGAAAGTATAAATAAATTAAGACATCAAAATAATAAGTTAAAACGACAAAACAAAATGAGTCAAATCAATCTATATACAAAATAAAATTAATTGATCTAATTACACCAAAATCTAATTGAGTGGAAACTAACCACGAGCTGGTGCCCCAGTGGTAAATGACGGATTACGAGGTTTTCTTAAAACTAAAAATTGGAGGTCTAGGGTTTGAAAACCGTTGTTGGTGTGAAAACCAAACTTGTGGTCAGGAAGAGGTTAAAATACTTCTATAAATCTTCCTGCCCCCGAAAAAGGTGGACAATCCACCAGTTGTCCCTCTTTTAAAAAAAAAAAATAATAATAATAATAGAGTGTAAACTGCTTTCGAAAATACAAACTTTTATTGGGTTACAACCCAGCCCAATTCAACCCAAACCAGCCCAATGCCGAGGGTGGCCTTTCCTTTTATGTTAATTTTTTTTTTTGGGCGTAACACGGGTGGGTTTTCCTTTTCCACCTCTGGGTCTCTGACTCTCTGGGTTTAAGCATACGGAGAGGTCCTTCTCCTTCCGAATCGTATAGCAGAGAAAGCAGCCATGGATTTATCTCCCCTTTCAGACGCCTTGGCCTCCAAATCCTATGGAAAGCTCGCCGATATCTGCGACCAACTCATGCTTCAGGTTACATTTCGCTTTCAATCCATTCAAATTTCAAAACTTTCGTTTGTTTTCTCACTCTCTCTCTTTCTCTCACTCTCTCTGATCGCACAGGTCGCAGCGGAGGGCGTTTCTTTTTAGGACGACTGGCCCTACGCCATTCATCTTCTCGCTCTCATATACGCTGGTGATATGTATGTTTTTAATTTTCATAATTTTCGTTTAATTTTATTCTGCCTTTTGAATCTGTTCATGTTGATGAGTTTAAGTAGAACGAGTAAGACAATTCGTTGGAAGCTAATAAGTATTTGAAGTTATGTTTTTTTTTTTTTTTTTTTGTTGAATTTGTTGAATTTGTTCTCTTTTAGCTCAATCTACTGTATCGTAGCAATGCTTTTTGTATTCTTGGTTTTGATTACTTGTTGTTTTACGATTCCGCGTTTTACTATTATTGTTGTTTGGGCGTTTGGGGTGAATCCTGACTTAAATCTGAGTTTGTCTTTGTTGTTGGTTTTCTGTTATTTGGAATTAATATGTGGGGTGATGATGATGCAGTAATAGTGCGCGGTTTCTTTGGAAATCGATGCCTGTTGCAGTCAAAGAGACCAATCCAGAAGTCATTGCTGCTTGGAAAATTGGTCAGAAGTTGTGGGTGCGGGACTTCGGGGGTGTGTATGAAGCTATTCGTGGATATGAATGGAGTCAGGATGCTGAAGGTCTTGTTGCAGCCTTCTCAGGCAAGTTTTACTAGATCAAAAATTGTATTCTTTATGTTTTGCACGCATGTGATACTTCAATTTGAAGATTTACGAAAAATATATCCGTTAAAAAGTGAGTGATATTGTTCAATAGTCAAAGAATGCTGAACAATTTGTCGAAGTTTGTTGTGATCACATCCTTCATAAACCTAAATTGCTGTGCTGGTAAGGTGTCATTTGTAATTGGCTTTAATTATGGTTGATTCTGATGAGAGTAGAGTACTTTTGAACGGTCAACACTCGAATGATTCCTTTCATTATTTTCTGGTGTTTAACGGAGCTTATAGGGTACTAATTCTTATGTTTAGTAAGGTCATCATTAATTGTCTTCTTAACTTCGTGCAGATCTTTACACAAAGAAAATGTTTCAGCTCCTGCAGTCTGCTTATTCTACAATAAGCATCCAAGACACAGCTCTCTTCTTGGGAATGAGTGAGGATGACGTCACAACTTGTAAGCTTCTGTCTTCACAAATTCATCTGTTACCAAATTCCTCAGGGTTAATTTTCCTTTTCGAAAAAAAATGAAAATAAAATCTTTATCATTGCTTTTTAGTGATCTTTGGGAAAGTAACCATTTAACAGCTTTGGAGGTATGAGCCTTTTTGAAGTCTATTAATCCTGAATAAGTAGGTTTTCTGGAAGAAAAAAAAGGTTCTGCTGCTTTAAAGAGTGTGGGAGGATTATTTGTTGAGATTTACAAACGTAAAAGGATATCAAGAATAAAAAACGAGTTGAATGTCGACTAATGATACACTTAACAATTTTCATAACACATCTGTTCCACTTCTCTAATACAAGTAGAGCCCACCAACACATGTGGGTTCCATCTCTACAAGAGAGTTGGTACGAATGTGGTAAGAGTAGCATTTTTTGGTCGAATGTCACTGAACAAAAGGTGTATACGGATGGGTAAATTAAGTTAGAAGAAAAAAAAGGTGTCCTGCCTATGAGAGTTTTTTTGTAAGTCTTGTAGAAGAAACTTAGGAGGAACCCCTTATTTAATACATTTTTCCGTTCATTTTCTTATTTTCACCTCGAAAACAGTTGTTTTTGCTTGAAAAAGTTTCCAAGTCTTTGATGAAGACTCCTTGTATCGGAGATAGTAATATATGCTAGGACTTGTTTTTTAATTGCGTACTTATAGGCCCGTCATCATTTGTTTCAAACTCCTGAGATATGGTTGTCGTATGCAGATGTACTACAGCAAGGTTGGGTTGTGGACCCTGCTTCGCAAATGGTTACTGTGAAGAAGCAGCCTATTGTCAAGGAGCAGAAACTGGATGTGAGTAAATTGCAGAGCTTGACAGAATATGTATTCCATCTTGAGCATTGAAGCAGTTTTACCAAGTTCCTGAAGCTGTGACTTGTCCTTTTGGTCAGCTGCTAACTTAGATCATGATTTAGTGGAGTAAATAATTTCAGGATTTCAGGTTTTATATATGTGGAAGGCACTTTTACGCACGTTTTTTTTACATCGATTATATTTTTCGCTAGGCTGTGTGTCATTTGGATTTAACCTTAGTTGGTCCCCGAAGTTGTGCACAAGCAAGTTCACAACATCATGTCATGTCATTTTTTGTCGATCCCTAGTTTTACTGCGTTTTATTCTCATCATTATATTTGTTTGGTGCAATGGAGAGTGGGTTCATCAGTTAGCTGGGTATCCGGGAATTGTTATAGCTTACACCGCTGGTGGTTGGAGAGGGGGGGGGGGGGGGGTGGTGCTGCTGCTGCTGCTGCTAGCTTACGAGAAGCTGTGTTCTTTTCCAACTCGGAGAAACTAATCGGAATCATCGTATTCCCAGTTGGACTGGTCTTTCTGCTCTTGCAGCTGCTTCTGCTCGTTTTTTATTTCGCCATTTCTTTCGAGTGCCGCTTCCGCTCTTGAAATTTGAATTCTATTGGCTGATAGCCTGATACGGTGCCGTTTGCTGCTAGCAACTGTATGCTTATTAGAACTTTGAAAAGTAAAACTTAAGGATTAAGTACCTAAAACCCTTTAACCTTTTAGTGTCATTTCAAATTGGTTTCAATATTTTTAAACATTCTAAACAAGTACTTAACTTTTAGAAAATGTTATATCTGTTAATTCCTAGTTGAATTTTTCGGTAAATGTATTGCTAACAATGAGTCCCACTTTTTAGGTTACTTGGACATTAAAATAATAATTAAAATAACTTAAAAAAAAAATGAAGATGAATAAAAAAAATAAATAAATAAATTCACAAATAAAATGGAAAACAAAATTAAATATCGGAATATATCAAACCCCCGCCACCTTCAAGCTGAACCTACGACCAACGAAACCCCGTCCCAACCTTTATATTCAAAATCTGTCAATTGTTTCAGCTTCCAATTCTTCTTTGTGATTGGTGAAGATGGTGTCCATACCATTTTAGCAGTCTCCATGATTGTTAGTTAGCGGAGCTGCGGAAGCCATGCTTCCATGACCTTCTATTGATTTTAGAGATGAAGTATGCCCTAGTTATTTAACAGAAATTTAATTGGCTTAATGAATGTGACATTTTTAATATGTTAGATACTTGTTGGAATATTTAAAAAAAATTAAACTAATTTTGAATGGCACTAAATGTTGGAGAAATTTTTTTACTTAATCCTAAAATTTACAAAGAGAAAATATAAAATGGTCTTAAGTTCGATTCTAACCAAATGCGAGTTTGAACTAAATTATTGCTAGTCCATTGTGAGGCTAAGTTCACCCTCATCCTCCTTAGTGTAGATATTATCGTTTGCTAGTCTGAAAGCCAAACTTGTGGCCAAAGGGAAGGTGAAATGTCTTTGTGAGTTTTCCCGGCTTCGAGAATAGATATAATTATGATTTGTTGCTAGTTGTTCACCCCATCCCCCCCCCCCCCCCCCTTTTTTTTTTCTTTTTTTTTTTTCAAATAATGATGATAGCGAAGGATTTTTGGTTACACCTTCAAATGATTTTTTGTCTGTAAACAAGTTCATAACTTTATTGACTATTTCTAAATAACTATTCCGTCACTAAAAAGTTGTTTTATTTAGAGAAAAATGTGAAAGAGACACATCTCAACGGAGGCTGAGGGTTTGCTGTCCCCTAATTATGTGTCTCCTCCATGTCTCTTCGTTAGTTTTTTGACAGATGTTTCTTCACTTAACTTTAATTTAACACTATTAATTTAATTATATAAAAAAAAAAATTGAAAGGACACTGCAAAAACCTAACAGCCTCTCCATCCCTGCAGTCCTTCCAATGAACCCGTAAATAAACTAATCATCCTTATCAATCCCATCAACCCAATCACAGTCAATCTCTGAATCTGAAGAAGAACCCACAATCCCAAGACGACCCCCAAATCGTATCTGTCTCAGCAGTTTTTGAGACTGCAGTCCTTCATCTCTGCCGCCAATCAACCCAAACAAATCCAAAACCAGAATCGTAAAGAGGAGGTTACGACGAAGAAGGCGACTCAGAACCGATGGTTTAAGGGTTCATCTCCTTTGTGCCCCTCCTCCTTCATCACAATCTACAGTTTACAACTCGACGCAGCAGGGTACGATATCCTCCTCTCAGCTTTCTGTGTTCATGGAGATTAGTACCATAAATTTGCTCTCTCATTTTGCTTTCTTTTTGGATTGTAATCTGAAAATCTTCAATTTTTTCAATGCTTTCTGGTGAATTCATGCGTTTCCAATTTTTTGGTTGGATTTTTAGAACCCATAAAAGCCACCATTTCCCCTAAATATTCACGACCCTTTGCGATTTTCGTCACAATCCAGAGTTTATTTGATGTTTAATTGGTTTTGTTGCATTGTTTCTGATTAATGTGTAATTGGGCTATACTATCCGGTTCTGTAATTAGTTTTCGTATTTTTCGACAAATTCATACGGGCTAATTGTTAAATGACACTTTAAAGGATGCGAGTTGAGAAGTTTGAAGCGCTTCATGTGAGAGTTAGAAGGCACCCGAAGGTTATTTTCCGAGGATGAACACCGTTCAGATAACATCCCGCCAACCTAGCAACTATTTTAGGAACCCATCTCAATCTCTCCGCCTCCATTCTAATCCGTATTTTCTTCCAAACCGTGCTAACTGTCTCCTTGGAGCTTCTTTGAAACTAAGACGTAATGTACTTGTTCAGCAACAATGCGTGGCTGTTCTGAAGAACCAGCGTTGCGGGGTCGTATCTCAGTACCACCAATCTGCACCTGTCTGCAGACAGTGTTCTTGGATTGTGTAATTTGGATTTATTTACAAGTAGATTAATTCAGAACCAGTCCAAATTAGTTGTCTGCACGAAACACTTGACAAGAGTGCCATCCTAGCCAATCCAATCCTAACCTTCCTAAATACCAAGTCCAATCCCATCCGGCCCACCAAACGAGCCCTCCATCCCTCAACACACCATCCCAACCGCCCCCAGTGCTGCAAGATTATTTACGTTTGTGTCCTCCTTATCTTAGAGTCGCTGAATTGGGTTTTCTGCCTATCGGCAGAAAACCTTAATCTTTGGAGCAGTTCAAGAAACAGTTGGGCTACACTTTTGAAAACACTAAGTAAGAAAGAATTACATTTGCATACCAATTGTATGTTGCTTGGTTAGGCTTTTTTTATTTATTTTTATTTTTTATAAATTGAATTGTCTGCACAAATCCTCTGACTTTGAAATTTGAATTAGTACTCGCACACCACTATGAAAACCTAGCTATTTGTGAATCTTCTTCTTTAGTCGATGAAAAATCAAACTAAAATTTGTTAATTACATACTTGGTTCTGGAATACAAATTGTGTAGAGCACCCCAGATGTTCTACCTCAGCCGAATTGAGCACACACTCCGTCTTCCACCTCATCTGCTCAGCCTTCGTCTAGAAGATGCGGTTAAGGGAGAGATCGAGAAGATTTTCCTAGATAAGGTTTATGGCCTTCTCTATATTGTTTCTTAATATGTATTTTGAATAGAGCCCTTGTTTCTTACTCACAATGTTGAGCTTTCTTTAACTGCGCTAATCTTCGAATGTAGGTTATTGCCAAATTGGGGCTCTGCATTTCTGTCCACAGTATTCAATCCATTAAAGATGGATTTATCCTACCTAATGATGGTCATCCAACTTTTAGGGTATATATTCTAACCTTGTTTTGTTTTCTTGAATACAAAGTTGTTATGTTCGCGTTAATTGCTGTACTCCTTCGGTTTTATATTTCTTGTTGGTATTATGTTCGTTATTCAGTTTCTAAATACCTCAATTCATTTCCAGTTCAGTTGCTCAGTATGCGACGGCCAATTATGTATGCTATGCAATGTTACTTCTTCTTCTTCATTTCTAATTTCCTCATCTGTTTCTCTTTCAACCATTAGCATGTTGTATTTTCAGACTCCTAATTCATACAACAAGTTGACAATCATGTCCTATCAATTTGCAGGTGGAGTTCACACTAATTATGTTTCGTCCATTTGTGGGAGAGATAATTTCGGCAAAACTTAAAGAATCTACTGCAAATGGTTTGCGCTGTATGTATTCTAATGATATGAACTAACTGTAGTCTGTTCTTGGGTTTCAATTAGTTTTTTCCTTCTTAGGTTGTCTTTGTGCAAGTAATTCTCACTACAGATGCACCACTGTGCAGTAATACATTGACAGGCTCTATTTCTTGTCCATAGTCTAATTTAATCTTTAATTGGCAGTGTCGCTTGGATTTTTTGATGATATTTATGTACCAGTACATCTTTTGCCATCTCCATCTTGCTCCGAGCCTGACCCAGAAAAGAGGTGAATGTCCCTTCCATGTCTGTGTTGATGGATTCTTGTTTATTGGTTCATTGTTTGAATTACTGTTGGATATTTGGTTTTAATATTACTGAGATATACAGGAACAACGTCATTTGGATATGGAAGTGTCCTGATGCAGATGATCTTGCTGTTGAGTGGACGGATGAGGTGCATATTGTTAGGATTTGATTTATCTATGGCTACATAAGTTTCTGGTGCCTACATGCATGCTAACTTTTAGTTTCGAATAGCAGATAAGATTCCAAGTTCAAAGTGTGACCTATCCACCAATTCCAATTGAGCAGCCGGAAGACGCGAAACCATTTGCTCCTATGGTGGTTACTGTAAGTTTATGTGCTGAACCTTATCATGACTGGTTGTGCATCTAGCTGTAGCATCACTTGATCTCTGTTTACAATTTTCCAAAGGCAATGAACTAGCTTTATGAGACTTTTCATTTCGTTAATAAAATGTGATAATTACTACGTATGAGGGCTGGCCTTGGCACAATGGAAAGGTTGCCTTTGTGACCAAAAGGTCACGGGTTCGAGTCATGGAAACAACCTCTTTGCAAAACAAGGGTAAGGCTGCATACAATAGATGTTCATCCCCCGACCCTCGCAAAGCAGAGAGTCTTGTTGGCTTGGGGTCGGGCCATTTAATTACCAAGTATAGAGTAACTCTAGTTCCATTGTCTAGTTGCTCTAAATCTTTGTTCAAATTAAGTTGGGTGTTCTCTTTTGGCAAGTAGATTGCGATGAATTCTATGAGCCGCCAAGTAAAGTTTCGTATTTTGCAGGGATCAATTGATTATGATGGTCTTGGCCCTGTTAGGTGGTGGGACAATGCGGAAGACAAGGATGAAGAACCTGAAGATCCTTAAGCTTACGGACCTTTAGCAAAGGGGAGCTCTAATAGTTGCCTGTTTTTTGTTGTCGTGTTTGAAAGCACCGAGACAATTTGGTTTGAGCTTGTAAATTTTCCGCTTTAGATTATATACAAACTAATATAGGTCGAATTAGCTTGATCGGAAGGTGGACAATTTCATCGGTTTAGGGTGTAAATTACAATATCTGTAGGAATTCTAATCGGCTTAACTCGGGGGCTTTGTTGGTTTTGACCTCCTACCCCATTTGCAATACATTGTAGCCTGAAAGTGTGTTCTTTTATATTATAGTAGACTAAAATCGACCTTTTCTCCTATGTGGGACTCTCTTATCTTCTTGGGTAGATAATCGGTCGTCTTTCATTTTGATAGTGAGTAGTTTTTGTAATAATAGGTCAAATCAAGAATAATAATCGAACTGGAGGAGCTTGCCAGGATGGCTTGGTAAGCAAGCAACCAGTTAAATGCTACATGTAGTTTACAAAGGTAAAACCTAGACGTGGTTTCAATTTTGTCAATTTAGTCCTTGTGGTAAAAGAGAGTATCAATCATGCATCTAATGCATACTCTCAGTGACTGTCTTTTTTATTTGTATCATCATTTGTATTATTTCTCTAATAGAAGTAAGGCATACCAACACATGTGGATCTCATCTCTATTAGAAAAATGGTAAGAATACTTTGGTGGTTAGGTAAAGCCTTTTTTGACATGTGTTTCACTTCCCCACTTCTTTCATCTCTGAAACACATAGTCCTTTTATACAAGCAATATTTGGCAATGGAAAAGTAAATGTCTTAAGAGAGGGCAACACAATCACAATTCATGGTGAGATTCACCCTATACCAGTAGCTCTCACAATTCATGGAATAACTTGCAATTAAATTTTTTATATATATGCTTGACTGGCTAGTTAGCAACACCAGTCAACTAAGATCATGTGTTAAGTGTACCAACAACGGAATTAATCAATTAACAACTTGGTTTACTAAAGTGTTCCCAGTTAACTAAGGTCCAACTCAATGCACATTCTAACTTTGATAAATTTAGTTGCATGGACATATCTATTTGCAAATCATAGTAGTCATATATCTACAAGGAGTAAGATATGTAACTAGAAAAACAATAAACAACACATGGAGTTTTTGGCTGGAAAACCCTACTTCTTGGTTAAAAAAACCAAGGACTCTCCACTGCGTCCAATCCACTAGTACGAATAAGGTTCTTACAAATTACCACGCACAACTCAATTCCTAGACCTAATTTACGGTCCTACAAAGCAGTTTTACCTTTGTGCAACCTTACTTTGCATGAGATGAGGATCCCTTCGATCTTCACGAGGAGGCAACTCCTACCTTGAACTTTTCTCCTTGTGGCACCGAAACCAAATCAACTAATGCAAATGATGTTATGATGAAAATATGAAAATCTGGATTCAATGATCAGTCAATTTCTCCAATCAAACAGTTGAAAGAAGAAACTAACGAGAATAAAAAAACGTGTCAATATATAGATTTGAAACTTAAGATAATTTTGCAATGATTAGGTGTTTAATGAATGAAGATGGTTTCGTGGCTAGGGTTTTTGATGATGAACACAAGACGTACTCCCCAAGGCTATAAAAGCACTCTCTAGAAAATATATAAATTTCCTAGCCAAAAAGCAAAATGAGAGTAGCTAGGTTTTAAGCAAAAATGGGATGTTTATTTTCAGCAACAAGGAAAAGGGACACTCGTCATTACAGAGAACAATCTGTGCATATCAAAGGTTGAAAATTCAACTTCGAACAAAAACTGTCAGTCAGCCCATGTGGACTGTCTTAAATTGCATGCCCAGCTAGCTGGACAACAAAGAGTAATTCTGACTAGACAACATCACTAGACAAAATGCAGTATGAATTTAGGCGTGAAATGCATATGCATGAACAACCCTTTGAAGTGATGGTCTGATAGTTTCCAACAGTATGATCCCATAGAGACATTGAACCTTTGAACCCCTAAATCTAACTAGTGCACGTGTGGTACCATTTACAAGATTTGACGAAAAAAAATCAAACATAAAAGTCTAGACTTCACAGTTTTCTTTGTCGTCTTTCAAAACTTCATCAAGGTTGGCATGGACCGTCGATGTAAGTCATCAACCAATGACTTTTGAGAATAGGAAGAATTTGTGCAATCCATAGAGGGTAATTGGTTTGATTGAGGTTGATGGTGATGGCATGAGAAACATACAGGAAGGCAGAATCAAAGGAACCAGAGGAAGCAATAGAGAAGTAGAATTGGAAAACATCTATGAATGATAGAAGCTAAAAAAAAAAAATTGACGATAAGTCATAAGGCTCTGGTTATCATAAAGTATTATTCAAGAGAAGATGAAAACATGAAGCAGAAGTTGAGAAGAATTTGATGAGCCTCAATGATAAATCTTGGGCACAAACCTTGTAGTATATATAAAGTACAATTGATCATGTGATAAAACGAATCAAGATACATTTGTACCTTATTTATATCGACATGATGCAATGAATTAAGATTCATCAGGGTATGAATACATGAAGAATATTGGAAAGCTAAGCAGCTTTGAAATTTTCATCGAGGTAGGTTTTTAGAGATATTATATAGGGTTAGGATAAAAAACAAACTTGTTAACACATATTTTTACACATGTTTTTAACCATTAGATTAATTCCAAGAGTTTAATTTTCAGCTCTATTCATCTTTAAGAAGAAGATTACACAAGGAAATAAATTGTCTTAACACGTGATTTTCTTCAATTTTGGCTGGCAATGTTAGCAGGTTATTCCAACAATATGAAGGATATAATTTTTAGTTTAAATACTCTCTTTTAATATCGAAGAACTGTGATGACTGCCTCAAACCTTTAATCACACAAACAGTGGCTATATTTCTCTCATTTATACTGCAAGATAGAATTTGAGTTCCAACTGTTTAAGGCTCATTTATATGTACTTTTAAAATAACTGAAAGTATTTTTAGGGAAATTTTTTTGGGTTCCAAAAGCACTTAAAATGCTTTCTGCAAGAAACACCAGTTATTTGCTTCTTCTAGAAAGCACTTTAAGTACTTTTCCAGGATTTACTTGCATCTTTACTAAAAATGAGTTTTAAAAATACTTTCACAAAAAACGCTTTTAATTATTTTAAAAGCACATCCAAACGAACATTTAATGTCTTTCATAAACCGCGGATTCTAACCCGTTTGATTCCTTTAAGAGCATCAACCAAATACTTTTCTTCATTGAAAATTATTTGGTGTATGGTGAATCCTCCGTGCAGAAGCGTGAGCAGATGCCCCTCCCAATGTAAGCGGTAAAATAATTTTTGTAAACAGTACAAGTAAACATACGATCCTCATATCGCACTTTTGCCGTTATTATTACAACAATACTTGACTACTTAAAGATGAATAAGAATTTCTATTTAAAATTTCTCAAAATTGTTCGTTGTCAATTTATGAAGTTTCGTGTTTATAATCAGAACTGCTCTTATTATAAATCACTATATAAAGATCACATCTGCGAAAAATCAATTAAAACTAAGATCGCTTAGTCTTTAAACTATTTACAAACAAATGAACGGTATTGGTAAAAACATTACAAATCATCTATGTATTTACTACAATAGACCGACTAAACGACCTTAGTTTTAATTTATTTTTTTGTAGAGATAATATTTACAATGTGATTCATAATATGAACGGTTCTGATCATAAGCACAAAGCTCTGCAATTAAAACACTAAGAATTTTGAGTAAGAATTTCTATTTATCTTTAAGTAGCCAAGTATTATTCTTATTATTGTACTCCAATTCCTTCGGATACATCATACACCAAGTAAGCAGCTTTCCTAGTTAAACTCGGCCCAATAATCGTTGGGTCACATCTGGAATATGTTTGAAGAAAATGATGTTTGTTATTCGTGATGGTTCCATATTTTTTAATAAGACACTGATATATTAAAACTATTAGAATTTGAAACACTAAAACTAATTGCGAATCAAAGCAAGATTTTAATTTCTTTATATTGGCATGAATAAATGAAGAGTATTGGAAAGCTAAGCAGCTGTGATTATATTCTTCATTTATCATGATGATACGGGTTTCAAATTGTCATCGAGGTAGGGTTTTGGAGGTATATATAGGATTAGGATTTTCATCGAGTTAGGGTATTGGACATATATATATATATATATATATATATATATATATATATATATATATAAAATAAACACTCAAGACTTTTAAATTTCTCTTTCGAAAATTGTAATACATGTAATTTTCATTTGATAATAACGGAAAACAATATATCGTTTTATGTGACAAATTTAGTGGGTCAAAGCTACGCTTTTACCATTTAAATTAGCTAATTTAACGGAAAAAATTGTTATGTTGATATTTAAGAGTATATTTTGTACATCTTTTACCTATTAAATTAGCTATGGTTTTATTTTGACATATATTTTGACCCTTTTTTTTTCCATTAATTAATTATTTTTAATATCTATTTAATATGTTGCTTTACGTGGCAAATTTGGTAGGTCAAAATTATGTCATGTCATCAATTAACGAAACACTTGACAAAAAATAGGGGTGGAAATCCGGGTCTTTGGACCCTAGATTCGGATTGTATTATCCAACCCGATGTAAAACCATATTATTCTTACTTTTAACTTTTTATGTGCAGGTTACTTGGCACAGATTGTTTAATGGTTGTCTTAGCACTTGTCATTTTATAAATGGTCCACAATGAAGCCCATGATCCATAATTTTATATCTACCTAACCCTAAGTAAAAAGATGAACAAGCGTCTTCCTTTAGAACATTTGTTGGTATTATTGACTTTGTTAGATGTAATTCTTTCTTAACAAAAGCACGCAGAGATTGTTTTTATATTGTTATTTTGTTGTACGACATGATAGAAAACGGAATTGGATCGTATTAGACGGATCCAAACTAGCCGGTTCTACTAATAAAAATACAGAAGCTATGACCGGCTAAGACTCATTTACAAAAAAGAAACAAGGCGAGTTCTGATCCATTAAAAATAAATCCGGCTCGACTCGTGCTTACTCCTAACAGAAAGTCTAAAGAAAGTCTAAAAATGGCAGAAAAATCAAATTTAGTTATAAAAGCAAGACAAAAAAGTAAGTACAATAAAATGTGATTTTGGCGAAACTTATGACAATAAAGTGAAAATTACATAAACAAAATATGAGTTTTAAAAATAATTTAGAGTTTTTTTGGTCGGCTAAGGGTCTACCATGCAATCACAAGACTTAACAAATTAACTAACAAAAGTCTTA